TATGTACAAGGCTCTGACTAGACTTGCAAGAGATGGAGACTTGCTCTCCAAGGCTGACAGACAAGGAGGGTGGAGATTGTGTCATCACTACATCACCTCTGGAAGCTGAAATAAAGACAGAGAAGCACAAAGTTAAGGACTTACATTGTGAACAGCCTTTATGCATTTTTGCTATTTATTTCAGATGATATGTTTATTTTACATAACATTCTTTACACATTAAATTTCCCGTATTGGTTAGCCAAATGAATATAAAGAAATAAAGCGCTCCAAGGCATGAATTATACCATCCTATTCTATCTGTGTCATAATCTTCAAAATAGAACAATTTGTCTCCTATCTGAAAACTCCCCCAAATAGATGTAAACCTATCAGTTCCCAACCTGGAGGATAAGAACACACTTGTATTCTCATACATGGATAGAATACATTTGATTAGGGACCCAGATGTAATCCTCCCTACCTATCCCACTTTCTCACTTCCCTCTGTCCTCACCAGGAATTGTGAACAACAGCAGCACCAACAGAACAGGCAACTTCATTTTGAGGAAGCAGTCTGTGGAGACTGATCAGTCATCACAGGATGTCAACTGTACTTTTATCATAGACTAGGAAGGGTGGGTCCTCTCTAGGGAGCAATATGCAAAGATATGTTTTAGTGTCACAGTATAGATAGAGGAAAGTATCATGCTGCCTTCTCCTGATTGCAAAAATCATGTAGTATATTTTTTACATCAGGAATGAAAATAATTATACAAAATGTGGTATTTGATAGGAAAAGAACATTATAAAATCTGTCAATCTGTAGGACACTAGACAATCAGTACTGTATCTCAGAAGCCTTAGGAGGAGTGAAAATGAGGACATGTATGCAATTATTCCTTATGAGCTGAATAACTATGCTTTTGCTCCTCTTTGACCCATTTTACAAACAATTACCTCTTTTATGAATGTTAAATGTAGAAATTAGGAGCTATCTTTTCTGAGGTTTTTTGATTTGTCCAAGTATGAGCACAAAACAAATACTCATACTAAGAAGGTATATCTTAAATGTTTATCATAAAAATATAGACATGATTGATACTAAAAATAATTGTTATAAGAAATATAGTTTGAGAAAAACTGGATTACAGGGATGGGTTTCTGGTGTTTGTACCTATTGATATTTCACAGGTGAATTTCAACTAATTTGTTGTGTGTTGATAAAGCTTATATAACTTTTCATTCAAGAAGTATACCTCAGTAAAATATGTTTCCTCATTTGCTTATGTTTTCATGTGTACGTTTAAGTATGTTCACTCCATGGTACACATGTGAATAACAGAAGACACTTGTAGGAATCAGTCCTTCCCTAACATGTTGGTTCAAGGAAAATAAGGTTATTTTCTTTGATGGAAGAAACTTTTATCTGTTGAGAAATCTCACCAGTTCTCTCAGTGAACTGAATTTATTACAGTAGAAAATTTTCTACAGGTGTTGATAAAATAAAGGATAACTATGCTACAATCCACAGAACCAGAGTTACTTAATAACAAGGAGAGTGCCTGGGACCAGAACATCCAGATCTCCCTGGAAATGGTAAATGTAAGTTATTTCATGAGTGGTCTGAGGGCATCTTGGGAAGGGAACATGAGCAATCAGGTTGGGGGGACATGAAAGTGTAAAGTGCTGAGAGGGAATGCTGGGGGTCATTTCATATTTAGTTGGAAGGATGACACAGTGAATCTCCCAGGAGTCTATGGGTGGGAGTAACCCCAGCTTAAACTCTTAGCAATAGTGGATATGTAGCCTGAACTGGC